ATTGATGTGTATAGGATTGTGGATGCATACTGTTGAACAATCCCATACCAGAACAAAACAGCTAGGTTTCCAATTATGGTCGAACTTAAATCAATCCATGATTTCAACTATTAAATATATTATCAGAATGGGTTTTGTGGAGATTTCTACAAATTTCACTGGTTGAAATCATGAGACAATTGAAGCTAAACCACCATGGAAAACCTGGAAGCACTGGATGGTCATTTTGTCCCGCGGGGTGCGGGATCGTGGATGCGCACTGCTGAGGAGTCCCACACCAGGACGAAACGGCCGTCCAGTGCTTCCAGGTTTTCCATAATGGTCTAGCTTCAATTGACTCATGATTTCAACCTATTAAACATATATCTATATAACTAAACAAGCAATGAATCAAGTAAACCAATATTCTTTTTTACCGGATTTCTTCAGATACCTTCAATGAATACATATACCTCTAAGCTAATACACAAATATAACCATTCCATTTAAACCATTTTTTAACATTTCAATATTCAGTTATCAAAGTTATTGATTATAGAACAAATTATTCAATCTATATTCATTGTTACTCATATATGAATTAGAAATGAGAATGGAAAGCCTACTTAATGTGTTCATCAACTTCTTTGTTCACAGTGACTATATACAATTTAGAACCAGTTTTCGGTGTGTGTGTGTGTGTGTGTGTGTGTGTTTATTGTTTGTAACTAGCTTAATTAATGTTAGACTAAACTTGATTTCTGAAAGTAGTTTATCTGTATAATGTTAATATTAATGTGGTGTATACTACTTATATTGACAGAATTAAGTAGTAAGTAATATCAATCAGAAGTGGGATGACTAAGAGCAGAAGGTTATGAAGATCGAATTAAAGAGAATAGGAACATAAACAGAGAATAATTGTAATAACAACGGGAATGAAGGAACTATAAAGTTTTATGAATGATCTCTGTAAGTTTGTATAGGTGATATACTACATTATAATACGTTCAAAATAACAATTGTTGTTATATTTATATAGGCTTTTGATAGGAGTAATCTTTGGTCCAAAGGTTATTTCACTAAATATTGTCTTATCAAAGTACAATGAAGGAATAACGATTTCAATGTCTTGTAAGTGGATTAGAATGATAGAATTTGGAAAGTTTGATGAAATCAGTCATTATTCTCTTAATAATTGGTTAAATGTTTAAATTAAACAAAACTTAGCTGGCTAACCTTCAGTAATAATCATCTCTGTTATATCCCGATGAGAATAATAAGCGGTAACTGTTGGAATCTGTTTAAGGATAAATACTATGCATATATATTTATTGTATAATCGTTAAGTAACTAAACTATGCATGTTCATAGTCCTCTCATTTTAAGCTTTATTTTGATTTATGAACTATTATTATACGGTTTACCATTCTTGAGTTATACCCAGTCTATCAAAGACTACCTCCCACATTCACAGCCACATCTGGCTAAATCTTGTACAAATGTTGTTTCTTATTTTATGGTACGATGTGGTCTGTTTGATGGGGTTATAAAAACCCAGTATGTTTGAAGTAAATGATTCATATTGCAGAGGCTGAGATTGGTGTTCTGGACTTAACAGGCAGGCATGGCTGGGCAGGAAGCAGGACTGATAAGGACTCTAGGCTGCTCGCACGTATTTTACGCGTCCTTGGTCCGATCGATAATTCACTGTTCTCTAATTGGCAGTATCACTAAGTATATATTAATGGGGCACAAGTCCAAAAGTTATAACAATTTTCAAGTTACCGATATTTTTCATATAACATTCCACCGGATTCTAGGTTACCATGACTATTTTCAGAACTTTTCTCCTCATTCATAATTGCTTGAGTTTGAGATGTAGTAAATATGCCTAAATGTTCTCATAACATGGGTACTTTTTCATTCAGGCTAATAGTAACTTAATGTACACTTCCACATCTACCTTGATTAATTCAATGAATACTGAGCTATTCGTCTCTAATAAGGTCATTTAAGATAAATGTTTGTGATCGAATTAAGCGTCACTGATGTTAATCCTGATAAACAGCCGATTGTATTTTTATCCGGTTTCCAAACGTTGAAAAAAAAGAAGCCAAGTAGCTTATTGTAATACTTGAATAAGAAAGTTCAATGTTAACATTGACGACGATAGATCACAATAGTCATCATTCTTTCATTCTTTGTTTTTATTTTGATTGATGCCAGTTTCCTTCTCTATTCTCTTCACTTGAATCTTCTCAATCTACTGCTTACAGGCATTTCATTTCCGATTGGTGCTACACATTACTTATATCTATTGACATAAGCAGCACACACTACAGTAGTAATAGTAGCAGTAGTGCAATGAACGACAACAGAATCTCTTAACAAAATCTAAGAACCATACAGTAAATACTTAATTTGCAAAATATCCATCAATTATCTCAAACTCTATTGCTCCTTGATTTCCATACTAATCACTCTCTTTGTTCTCGCTCTCCTTTCTTCGATCTTCTTAACATTCTGCTACCAGTAGTAGTAGTAGTAGTCAATAATTTTTGGGAGCATTACCTAGTGGTCTTGACACGATTCCATTTCTTTTTCATAATAATCGTTCCTGATTATTTCAAATAAAATCCTATTCGTTTTACAGCTCAAACAATAAGAGTTTTCAGTCCAAATGTTTGTTGATCATTCCTCATCTCTTGTAATATTCTGTATTTGTCTTCATTATAATAAACCAATATGTGTACACCGTGTAGTAATAACTTATTATCCGTTATAACTTTGAGTAGTTATTAACAAAACCAAATCTTATCTCGTCTATTTATATCTAGATAGCGTATCAATAGTTCTACGCCAAACAAAAGATTTCTCCTGATGACAAATCTGTGAAACTCTATTTCCTAATACATTGTTTTCCTAAAATGACATTGGTCACCACCCAGTGATCAATCAATTGTGATCACATATCAGTCCTACAGGCGGTTGGTCGTGGCCCGGATAGCTCAGTGGTAACGTCTCTGACCGTGAAGCTGGGTGACACGGGATCAGATCCGTCAGGGAACATCAGTTCCCTCAAGATTACAGATACACCTTGCTGACGAGTGCCAAGTAGCACGAGACCTAGGTTCAGGGTTTCCTGTTCACTACCTCTAACCACCATCTAGAAATCAACAGTCCTTGACTTAAATAGTTGAAATTAACTAAGTTTCGATAAGGGCAGTGAACTACACTAACAAAGTTAATCGTATTAATACAAAAAGTACCGGTGAGACTATAATTTATGGATGACCTTTGAGCGATGGTGAAGTAACCTTGAGAGTGTTTACCTACTTACGAGACCTTAATAAGGATTATAAAGAAGTTTGAAAAATAAGGATTATGATTAGAATTAGGAGTTAGATTTAGAGTTTTCATAACGAACTGACATCAGTCATAATGTCAAGACACTGTTTAACCAAATGGGTGAATGAATTTTGCGCCAAAATCTAAGACCTGTTATCGTAAATCTGATTGGTTCATCCATAAATTTTAGTCTCGTCGAAGTATCTATCATTTTCAATTGATTAAACTTTTGGAAACAATAAAATGAGTTGAAACAATGGAAAGTATAGCTGTAGTGAATGAGAACAGAAGTGGGGACAATCGAATACAAAATTACAGATCTTAGTAAAATCTAAGAACCATACAGTAAATAATTCATTTGCAAAATTGTAATCAATTGTCTCAGACTTCACTGTTCGTTCATTTCCACACCAATCATTCTCTGTTCTCGTTCTGCTCTCTTTGATCTCCTTAACTTTCTGCTGTCAGGTATTCCACTTCCGATTGATGATACATACTACTTATATGTGTCGACATCAGTAGCGCACACCACAAAGTGACAGAAAAACATGTAACTTCTTGTTAATTTAAACATATTAGCTTATTAACCCTTCGAAACAGGACCCACTACTCTTCACTTATCTATAATCAAAATGAAGATAATCACTAATGACATATATTGAAGAGTTTACAAAATAAACTAATAACATTTTATTGTTCATTCATTAGTTCCTTGACATTCTTTCGAAGTCAAATACGACTTCTCCTAAACAAGTTTGTACCAGTAGAGAAAGAACCATGTTGATTATCTACCACTACAGTAGTTAGTATTAGACTATAATCTTATGCAACTCTTCTTTATGCTCTTGCCTATGCAACCACTAGGATTTAGTTTGGTTTTCAAGTAGCTTTTTTACTACTAAACAATGAATGACCATATTTGTTTCAAACTAATAATATTAACTCTATACATGTTAGAAACAGATAATGTGCTAAATGTTGATTTGTAATTAATTTAATTATAACATCGTACAGCCTTGAGCTGGACAGTACTTTCAGGCATTGATCAAAGAAAATATATGTCGGTAAAGCAAATTCTGCATACATTGTAACATAATATCTGTTCCTAAAGAAGTGTCTCTATTCATAGGGATAAAAAGATTACCTCGAATAAACGATATTTATCTATTAATGAATAGTATACTATAGATAGGAAAAGAATCACGAGAGTTAATCTCCTATCAGGATATTCACCTCATGACTTTATTGACACTGGTGACATAATTATATTTGGTGAAGACACCGTTAAAATGTGGTACGGTTTCTTGAAGCGGTGAGCGTACATCCCAAGCCCAAAGTTTCATATGACTGACTGACTGACTAACTGATCAGTATAAGTAAAACTTACAAAACTATGGGTATTTACGTTGAACGTTTGATCTATTTTTGGTATATAACAAACTTATTCTGTTTTCTTAGCTTTGATCCATATCAGCTTTCCTTCAAGTATAACAGTCATAAACAGAATATCAACCAATGTACACGAAAATTGCTCACTAATATGAGAGTTATCAAATAATAGATGTTACGGTTTGGAATGTATAACCCGAAAAGTAAGATATTGATTATTTCATCAGAATCTGGAGTTGTATCACGAAGTCTACAATCAAACTATTTAAATTCGTCAACAATTAGTTAACATTATTATTATTATTATTATTATTATTATTATTATTATTATTATTATTACTACTACTACTACTACTACTACTACTACTATTATTATTATTATTATTATTATTATTATTATTATTATTATTATTATTATTATTATTATTATTATTATTATTATTATTATTATTATTATCATTATTATTATTATTATTGATAGCTCCAGCTCCACCTGGACCTACATTTCGACCGAAAAAAACATTTGTATATTTTGATCTACTTAAATATAATTAAGTAGGCTAAAATGTTTTCTTCATTTTCCATGTCATTCATAATATCGTCATTATGATATTAAACATGAATACATAGTTATACCCTAAGTTTTTAAAGATAATTTTGCATTCTAACACAGAACAATAACTGTCCTCATATTTAATTGAACAATACCTCATGTGAGATGTAAAAAAAAATACTCGTAGCAAAAGTGAAAAAAGAAGTAGAAACTATAGATAGATTACATAACCTTGACCGGATAAGTATAGGCTGATATGTAATCCGTGTGATGTGATCGTTGATCAATTAAGTGGTTTAATTAAAATCGTTAAGCTTAAATAAAATTTATGTTAGTTCTATAACATTCGAATGGCACGTACTAAAGAAAATTGATTCATCGAAAATGAATATCGTCAAGATAAAAACAAAAGAAACTCGTTCATAAGACAAATGATCAGTTGATTTACTGCTTCAGGAAATGTGATCATTTGCTTAACTTAGGGAACGTTTCATAAATTAAAGAAAGACAAGAACAGAAGAATGTGGTTATTCAAGTTTCTAGGAAACCATGAAACCAAAAACAAATATCAGCTACAAATTTAAATCGAACTGCTCTTAAATTAAGTTCGGTTTTTTTAATGGTCCACTCAGGCATATACCGAAGAACTTCCGTATGTTTCGTCCAAAATGAACAACTGCTCATTAGATATCCTACACAAGTATCCATTTATATCTGAATTAGACGACTATAATATTACAATCCCTTTTCTGATCACTAGGAATAAGACATGAAAAACTACAATCTTAGTTACAGACTTATACACGTGAATAATTTTTAGTTAAGTGATTTGTAGTAGCGAAAGTAAATGTAATTGGTCACTGATTGTGGACGAACAGGCAAACAGCTTACTGATTATTTACTATGTAATTTCCTTCCCTTTAATTGATTTCTATTCCGGAGTCACTAAGAGCGACTACTTGCAATTATATACAATAAATTATTGGCTATCGTTAATCTGATTCTCAATTCTTGGTTGTAATTTGTGCGTTTGATATAACGTGATTTGTTCTTTGTATTGTGCACCATCCTAATAATCAATCTAACGGTATTATAAACTCAGTCACCCAGACTGAGTTTTATTATCATTTTAATGTATTGGTGTAGTATACCGCAGAGAAGGAGAAATATGCATCCTGTGCAGATTGCCTCGATATTGCCTTAAATCACAAGTGAAATCCACGACACGTATTTTGTCCCATTCGGGACTCGTCATATGGGTGCGCTTGCGTCCGAGTTGATGTTCACTTTGTGACTCCAACCTAGGTATATCCGGCTGACGAGCCCCGTATAAGATAAAACGCACGTCTTGGATTCCATTTCTAGCCACCATTCATCTTAGCTTAAAACACAAATCCTGATGATAATTTTTATTCTTTTCTTACCATTCCTCATAATGGTTTTGAAGGTATTTATCTTTGTTTTTGAATCGTTTGCTGGAAGTGGAAAGGCAAAGTTTACGCAGTTAACTATCGACATGTTTTGCATTTATGTCAGGAATAAAACAAACATGCATTATGCAGTGGCGAATTCTAATTCCCTCTAAAGTTAGTTAGTCAATTGACTTTGCATATTGTATATATACATTGGATTATCGATTAGCAACCTGCTCATTTCATTTAAAGGCATTGGTTGACCGAAACATTTTAAATGTTAGGTAATTTATTATTATTGGTCGTTTATTTATTTATTTAAACACATTAACATAGATACAAGAAGACACCAAATGGATATGCGCCACATTAATCATTGAATTTGTGTGAGGGCTAGAATACTTCACAGGTTCCCAAACCGAAGCAGGTGGTTTTCTTAGGGGGCCACACCCCGAGTCTTTGACCTAAAGGTCTAATCCATAAGGCAGTGGAGCAACGTCAGGAGATGCAGTCACATGGTAGCCGGTGACCAACGATTCGTTCATACGCCACTCGTTCCCTCAAGATCATGAAGCACATGTGCACCATTGGTTTGGAATCAGGGTTTACCACATCCACCAACCCGGTTAAAGCTCCGGACATTCACTTTTCGTCCTCTCAATTTCGTAAACAACATCGGTGCCACGAGAAGGCAGTGAGTAGGACTTCCCTGGCAGTGTCTGTATGCACGTTATCATGTGAGAGCATTTCATGTGGGAGAGTTGGTATATACTACTTATATCTGCCAACATAAGTAGTATGTATCACCAATCAGAAGTGGAATGTCTGACAGTAGAAGTTTAAGAAGATCGAATTGAAGAGAACAGGAACGTAAACAGAGAGTAATTGTAATAACATCAGGAATGAAGGAACGATGAAGTTTTTAAGAGACATTTGATGGAAGATGTGAAAATTATATATTAAATGTTTAATTTTCATATTTTGTGAAGATGCTATGTTATTGGTTATCCCCATCAAGTCTTCAATCAGTACATTCGTAGCAGTAGTATCGTGGATGACAAATAAATCGGTCTGCTTTAACAGTCTAGTTTTCTTCCTTACATTGACGAAGGATTGTCGTCCCATAGTAACAAGTACCATGTGGAAGCATTCCTTAATCATACCTCGTACTCAGAGAGCAGAAATCAATATTTAACTCAAGTATCAACCTTGACATGTTAGTCTTGTTTCAAGACAGCAAGATTTACAATCTTAATTTACGTTTTAATCACTTGTACCGCACAACAGTAAACTAAACTAATGGGATATTATATGAAGAATACTAACACATAAATGGAATAATAATCAGTATTAAGCTGTTATACTACCAAATATAACTGAAGTTTGTTGATCAACCTGTTCAAAAATTATTCATAAGATTAAATATCCAATATTGTAATACATTCGTAGATTTGAAGATTCTCTTTGGCATTATTAATATCATAACTGAACTGAAGTGAACTTTGATTTTGTTATCATGTGAACTGTTTATTAACAGATTTATAAATATTAGTTGTGAAGAATTTCCATACTGACGTTTAGGACTGCAGTTGATTGATCTTCTAGGACAGATATGAATCATGTGCGGATTACCTCGAACGGTGCCGGATTTGAGTTCAAGAATGAATATCAACTCTCAAGTGCAGGTAAATTCAGCTGACGAGTTTCAAGTAGAACGAAACCTACATGCTAGATTCTACTACTAACCACCATTTATCTCCGTTTAAAATGTTTATTAGTGAGCTTTGACAGGAGAAATTTGTTTTTTATCACCAAATAACTAAACACACCATCTCCAACTCCCTTCGGTTAAATATATAATCTGTTTTAAACATAAATGTTGGAACATCTGTTTGATTTCTTGCACATATCTTTCCTTGGTACTTATAAATATTAGTATCTATGGGCTCGTAAAGGTGTCTCCTGTAAAATACCTGGTACAATAGGATAGATTTCGCTTCATGAGTGATGGATTAACCAATCACTCATATCAAGCTTCAATGCAAGATTTCTGGTGGACGATATAATCTATTAAGTGAAGAAGTATTTCATTACACATAAGTTACTAATTTTATCATATGACAGTAAGAATAGTCACCGCTAATCCTTAAAACTACCTCATAAGTTCAGTGAATCACATAAAAAGCACACGTTGGGAAATTCAGATATTGATACTAACCGACTTCCTTGGACTTGGACCTGTGCCCTGATGTTTGAAAAATGAACCATTTAACCACTAATCATATTGGTCAACGAAATTTATTCATATCTGTGCCTTGATTAAAGATCCATACTATGTGAGTTTATGAATGAATCTAATCACTTAACTCATACTAGGACAAAATGTCTATTTAGTCCCTCCAGATTTTCAATAGTGGTCTAACTTAGATTGATTCATGATTTCAATGAATGTCAACAATCTCCACAACTCAATACTGAATCCATAAGCATGTACTTAATGGCCGCTGATGCTGAAAGACTAACATAACCAGAACTAAAGATACTAAACATACAAACAATGTAAAATAAGGTTTGAATAAATTGTGTTTTGTCTAGTTTAATGGCCCTTCCCCATACCATTCAACATCAACTGGAAATTCAATGAATGACATACATAAATAGTTCGTAGTCGTACATACCATTACTCAATGGTTGGAAGTACCCAGGAAAATAATCGTCTGCATAACCATTTGCAGTTGTTAATCATTATGAAACTTGTCTGTCATCTTAGAGGAAACTTCAATTCATATCAAATAGAAAATCTACTATTGAGCTATGCAGGCTACAAATGACTAATGAAATACAAGACTACATTAAACCTTTCTGCTTTTAGTAAAGTTTTATTGATCATTGCATTGGAAAACTAAACTAGCATTATATTTGAGGTCATTTAGGGTGAGTTGGTTTATTTTAAGGTTGTTTTCATTTATAGTCACAAAATTCAAACTTATGAATGTCAAAAGGAAATACAATCACTTAAACCTCATAAAAAAGAATAGATGCACCGATATGAATAACTATGATAACACTAAATACAATCATTAAGATAATTTACCTTAAATAAATATAGTTTCTAACTAAAGTAAACAGATATGGAAATTTCAATAATTGAGATCATGAGTCAATTGAAGCTAGATCACTATGGAAGACCTGGAAGCACTGAACGGCCGTTTCGTCCCAGTATGGGACTCCTCAGCAGCGCGTCCACGACTCCGCCTCGCGGGATTCAAACCCAGGAATGATCCGTTTCGTGCCAGGCTCTTAACCAACTAGGCCACTGAGCTGATCGGCATCCAACGGTATTAATGTCCAACTTCAACGAATCCACGAAATTCAATGACATCCACCATTGTCATCAGTGAGTTACTATCTCACAACAGACCCGGTTGAACTTCACTGATCACAGCTTCTCACTAGAACTCGAGGAAACATGTATTGAAACCGGTCACTAGTGAGCATATGTTGGTTAATATCAGAAGGGGTTTTGTAGAGACTGTAGTAATTTCAATAGTTGTGATCATGAATCAGTTGAAGCTAGACCACCATGGAAATCCTGAAAGCACTGATAGATACTGGGTTCGAATCCCGCGGGGGCCAGGATCTTGAATACGCACTGCCGAGGAGTCCAACAATAAAACGAAATGGCCGTCCAATGCTACCAGGTCTTAAATGGTGGTCTAGTTTCAACTGACTCATAATATCAACTATT